ATCAAGGTGATGCTTGCTTCCAGGAATGAATTTGGGAGTATTGCTTCCTTTTCAATTTCATTGAAGAGTTTAAACAGTAGTGGTAGCAGTTCCTCTCTAAATGTCTTGTAGAATTCAGCAGTGAAGCAATCAGGGCTCAGGCTTTTCTTAGTTGATATGTTTCTAATTAATTTTTTAATTTCATTGATTGATATTGGGTTGTTTAGAATTTTTAGGTCTTCTTCATTCAACTTTGGTAATTCATACGTACCTAGGAATCTGTCCATTCCTTCTGTGTTTTCCATCTTATTGGTGTGTAAGTTCTCAAAGTAGGTATTGATGATCCTCTGGATTTCTGTTGGGCACATGATTAATCACACCTAGTCAGTCTGCTTATATTATTTTCACCATTATTAGGATATATCTGTAGTAAACCAAAAATTGGCTGTTAAAAATAGGTTGTCTTAGAAAATCATCATTGCTATAGAATTTTAGGAAATTTTATTTATCTTAGTTTAATGCGTAGTACACCTATACAGAGGTAAGCTTTGTTAAGTTAGAATTCCAAGAGGAAAGTTATTTGCCTTCTTTTGTCCACTTGGAGCACAAGAGCCTTACCTCAGTGATTAAGTAGGTACTTTAGGCCATATACATTCAGATACACATGTATATACAGATATGTATGTGCATACACATATATACTATGTGCTGCATATATGAATATAGTATATATTACAAATTCTGAGATCTCTTCTATATAAAGAAGCATAGATCCCAAGTTAAGAGTGTAAATAAGTTCAGAAAATGGCTGTTAAAATGCTAATGTCTCTTACAGAACTCCAGTTTAACATCTAGGGGCCTAACAGAAAATGTGAATGATTGTTTTTAAAGAACATTTATTTCATCATAATTTAACTTCTTTCTGTGTACTGCAAGAAACTACACTTAACCAACTAAAAGGAAAAGTAATAAGCCACAGCTTTTAATGTATTACGAATGAATGCAAATTTTAAGACTGAATTATTCAGTATGGTAGTCATTGGCCATAGATGGGTCTTGAGCTGTTCAAATGTGGTTAGTACCTCTGAATTTTAAATTTCATTTAATTTTTTCTTTTTTTTTTGGTATTGGGGATCTAGCTTGGGACCTTGAACTTGCAAGGCAGGCAGCGGAACCACTGAACTAAATCCCCGGCCCGATTTCATTTAATTTTAATTGGTTTAAATTTAAAAACTCACACTTGATTTAGTTAGTGTAAAATTTTAAATGTGTTTGAACAACTTAGGTATATGAATCTATTCAACTGTTTCATGACATTTAAATACATATATTTTAAATATAATATCTGTACATATATATATTATACACATATAATTTAAATATAATATTTCAGAAGAAAATTTGCATTTAAATTAAGGTATAACCATAAGAATAAAACAGTATATTTCAGAGGCTTAGTATGATAAAGAAGTAAAATATCTCAAGTATATTTTTAGATTGATGCACGTCAATAAAAAATATTTTGGATGTATTGGAATAAATAAAATATATTTTTTAAATTCAATTTTACCCTTTTTTAACATTATAAAATGTGGCTAGCAGTAAACTTTAAATTACTATTTAGATTATATTGTATTAGTCTTGGACCATAGTGTCTTAAGTTTTTCTAAGATATAACTAGAATCTTAGATGCACAGAAGTGCAGCTATGGTCAGTGACTAAACCTTGTTGAAATCATAATGTTTATCTTTTTGCCTCTTATTACAGAGATGGTGGTGTGAATCCTTAAAATGTTAATTAATCACTGAATCTAGTATCACTTAATCCAGTATCATACTTTTCTGTTTAACTCGTAATAATTACAGTCTTTTATTAGTGTTAGGGAAAATCAAATTCTTTAGGAAATTTTAATGAAACAAATTGGTGAAAATCATGACATGGGAACAGGTATGGCTTTGACCAAATATCATCATGCCTTGGGCAACATACAATGTAAAGCATTTAAAGTACTTACACAGAATCTAGAAAAGTTCATGGTGTCTGCTTTCTAACAAGACATTCTTTTCATGCTAAATTTTATCCTCACCTGAAACAAATGGGGCGGAAAGCATGGCCAAACATGTAACGCCTTTTATTTTGTCAGATATCCCTAATAGGCTATTAATGTGACTTTCATCATAAATTTTTCTCATTGTTCTGTTGATCTCTCTAGGAGGTGATTTCCTATCCTTTCTGAGAAAGAAGAAAGATGAATTAAAACTCCAACAATTAGTGACATTTTCCTTAGATGCTGCTGCTGGTATGTTTTATCTCGAGAGTAAAAACTGTATACACAGGTAAGGAGTATATTTATAAAGCACTTTTCACCTTTTTAAATAAAATGCTATAAATGGTATATTTGCTATAATGTATCAGTAAATATCTTTTATACATTTTTATGGTGGTATATTTATATTTTCTGTGAAAACATCTTTGCTAGTTGCTGGTGTTCACATAAACACTTGTTTTCCTCTTAAGGCAAGTACCTAATTACACAACAACTTGCCTCTTAGAATTTATAATAATGAATAATAATGACTAGATATATACTATAATTGACCAAGGTTAAGAAACTACAACCTTATAATAAAAAGAATTGTTTCCTATGTTGCTTATTCTCAGTCTCTAAAATCGTGTAACACCATAAAGAATGACAGTGAATTTTGCCAAGTTTAAGAGATTTTAGCATACTAGTTAGAGTATTTCAAAGAAGATTTTAGAAAACATTCTATAATGTTTTTATCCATAATTATTCCATAATGTGATTATGCATAGTGTCTCAATGTTTTATAGATTGTGGTTTTTTAGTTGCTTGTAGTTGCAGGTGATCTTTACTCCTAAATGTTAATGCAGCTAAAAATTTATTGCAAAATTCATGTCAGATCCTAAGTATGGCTAAGTATCCATAACTAAAGTGAAGTGGGGAATTGGTACAGTTTGTGTTCATTGGAAACAGTGCATTGTACTGCATAATATTAGATGGGAGTTCATGTCAGATAGAGCTATTATAGACTACCCAAGCTAGTTTAATTATTGAAGTACACTTTTCTCATTATATGACCTTTGACTTGACATTCTGGTAACACTATATAATATATATTGCAGTAGCAAAACAAAGTTATCTTCATCTTTACTGTATATTTATTTGATCTCAGTGGATATTTGTGACCTTAATTTTCCCAAAACATTTTGCTTACTATTTAGTTCTGGAACTGAAACTATGACCTCCTTTTCAAATATGGTTCAACATTTATATACATCTTAAAATGCATTTCAGTGAGGATACTATTTTCCTAGAAGTTAAGACAACTAAAACTGACCCACTGTCATTGTATTTCTTTTTCACTTTCTATAAACTATATCACATTATTAGAGTTTTATTTTTTAATAGTTAAAAAGCATTTAAATTCATATAAAATTGTATTATACTTAATTTTACATTGAAACATTGTTTTAAATTACATTAATATAAAGAGTTTGTTGAAATGTTGAGGTGTTTTTCCTATCATACTGCATCAAATTCTTTAGGTACTCATTTTGTCTATTTTTTTCAGACTATTAGGCAATCTATGACTTTAAGCCGTAACAAATGCATATTAGTGAGATTGTCTTTTTCATTTGTCAGTTATCAATAATATTCCTAATTTTTAGTGCATTGCAGTTGAGGGAGCCATTGTTTCAATTTCTTGCTACTTACAGTGATTTCTTTTTTCTCAAACGGGTGTCTTGTTTTTTAATCATTAGAGTCAAAGCCATTTTAGGTTACAAATGATAGCTTTTTAAAATTTATTCTTTGCCCCAAATCATAGCATCAGCTGCTGTAATGTTGTTTTCCCACTTTGCTTTCTAAGACTTTTATGCATTCATAGGTTTTTGAAATTCAACTATTGCTTAACCACAAATCCTAGCAGGTTGTGCATAGACCTGTACCTTTTGCGTCTTGGGAAGGTTTTCCGATTGAACGAACATCTTGAACAGTGTCACTAAGAGCAGGGGGGTTTTTTTGGTACCAGGGATTGAACTCAGGACCTTGTGCTTGCGAGGCAGGTGCCGGAACCACTGAGCTAAATCCCTGGCCCCTACTAAGAACAGGTTTGATGAATAGGTTTCAGCAGGAGTGCCAAAGTTCAATGCTCAGTAGTGTCTCTCTGTGTTGAGGATTCCAGAATCAGCTACAGAGAGTCAGTAATTGATCATTCACGTCTGACAAACATAAACACACAAGCCCCAAATCTGTTATGCTTGGCACAGAATATCTTTTTTATCTTCCTTCTCATAAATACATTTCTAATTTATAAAATGTTTGATGATTTTTCCTCACTAACCACTTTATGGTAACAGCATAATATTTTTCTATTATCACTTCTATTGAATTCTCTTAAACTGTCTTCTATTTTATATCTTCTCTTGTTAAACTTGAGAAGTTGATGAATCATATCTTCAGCCATTGGTCGTTTTTTATTCTTCAAACCTGTGTAAATATTCTTTTAGATGAATTTATTGTTTTCTTTTTACTTTAGTGCTTCACCAATACATGGTATTGTATTGAGAAAATAATTCATTCTTTGTATTCAATTTTTTATAGTAATGAATTGTGTTGTAGAACCTGTTCCTATCGCCAGCCTGTAGAACTGTTTCTCTGACAACGGTAATCACAGTAAATAAAATTCCACTTACAGTTCACTTCATTTGTAGTTGAAACATTCAAGACACATTATCAAAAAATATTATAGTGCTTACTATAGTGAAAAGTTATTTTCCTATTTGGAAAAATTTCTAATAAAATATTTCAGAAATTAATTAAAATATAAAACAATCAAAAGTTTCTTTTCAGTTAATGAGCAAAATCACTAAGCCCCATTTTTGACATTCTAAAATGTTACGAAAAAAATGCATGTCTCTCATTTATGATTTGTTAATAAAATACAAGCAAAACTTTATGCTTTAAACTTTATAATAACTTACATATTTTGTTCTGTTACAGATTACAAATCACTAGAACTCAGTAATTGAAAATATTTATAATTGTCTAACCCAAATATAGTCTCTTTAACTTTTGGGGTACACAGTTTTTCTAACTTTCCTATTTTTATTATATGAGAACACAACAGCTATAAAATAGAAACACATAATTACATTAAGAAACAACTGTATTTGTTGTTGTTGTGACTGCCACTTAACTTCCAGGAAGTACTCTGAAGTTGATACTCTTAAGTTTCTAATTGTAACAATTTCCACTTATACCTTGAGGACTCCTGGATGTCTTGTATTTTGGTTTATTTTAATTAACTTCATTTTCTTTATAATTATTCTATAAACCAATGTGAGATTTTCTATGATAGTATATCTTATATTTTATGTGACTATTTCAGATACACTGATCAATTTTGTCCTTATGACATTTATTACAATTTCACAAATTTGACATTTATGGTTTATTACTGATAAACTTTTTTGTAAGATATATTTTTATTTGGGGTTATGCCATTTACTTTTTTTATATCTATAGTAGATCATAATCTATAGGACACTGTGGGAGCATTTCTTTGTTTCATACTATTCTAAGTCACTGTCATTATTAGAAAGGGTATTTTTAGAGGGGTGGGGTATACTAATGATTTCTTTTTAAATTTTGTATTCTACAGTTTGATTGTTCTACTGCAATATTGTTTTTGTCATGGAGTAAGCAAATCAATCTGTCAGACCACATTATGACTCCTCAGGGTTTTGCATATTCACTGAGAAATGGAGTACACGTTGAGACTTCCTAAATTTGAAATAATCTAAAATCTGAAAATTTTGAGCACCAGCTTGTTGTCACAAGTACAAAATTCCATACCTTATGGATATGGACAGTTGCTTATCTGTGTCAAGGGATTTCCAACAGGAAAATTATGGTCCCTGCCTTCAGATGGATAGAACACAAAAATTAATAATACAAAGAGGTAATCAACTTTATGCTAATATAAGTAAAATTATTTGGGAGACCGTCTGACATGACCTGTTGGTACAGGCTCTGTGGTGGGAACTGTCGGGAAGTCTTGCAGAGTATAAGTGAAACTTGATGGATGGGAGTGTTGTTGAGAAGGAGAAAAAGTATTCCAGCTAAAGAAAAGTTGAAAACAAAGTTAGAATGTTATGCATGCAAAGGCATCACTTAAGGAATTTCAAAGAATTCATTATTACCAGGGTGGGAAATTCAAAGGAGATAGGGCTGAATGAGGTAAACAGGAGTATTTTCACCAAAAGCCATGTATACCATCTAATTTGGCTAAGCTGGAGGAATAAATATACATTCAGATTCCTTTAAGAGAGTAGAAATGCTGTGATTTTTAACTGGAAAAAGTAGTTTGAACAAATTTGCAAAACCCTGAGAAGTGTGTAATGTCATGAAAATATGTTAGTATGAGACCAATTTGATTTTTAAATTTCACTGGAAAATCTAATTTAGGAAAGTTCAGATTCCCCAGAAAAGAATAACATTTCATTTCTGTCAAGTGTTCTACAAGTAGATTGCCTCATCCAGTGATTTGTGATAAGACTTAAGCATGTGTACTTCTAAAGATAAATGAAAGATGTTTCTATTTTATTTTTTGAGACCTCTTATTTTATGATCTAGGAAGCAGCAAGGAACCAATACAGCATCTCTTTCTGTCTCTGTGTTCACTTGGACTTTTACTATTATTCTTGCTCTGTCATTTTCCTGTTGCTCTAAAGAGTGCATTCCTCTATGCATTTACAAGGTTTACACGGCCTATGATTCAATACTCTGTAACCATCTGGACACAATCTCTGTAGCATTTTTCCCCAATGATCTTTGAGGATTTTTTCTTTATTTTTTAACTGCAACTGATAACGTGCATCTGAGCTCTTCCTAAACTTTGAATGTACTAAGGAGATATTTTACACCTTTTACATTTAAGTGGGAGGATAAAACCAAAATAAACAAGTGGAGGGCGGGGGATTTAGCTCAGTGGTTTCACTGCCTGCTGCGCAAGCGCAAGGACCTGAGTTTGATCCCCGGCACCACAAAAAA